GGTGTATAATAAAATTTAAAAGTTTCGTTATAAAAAATTTGCTTTTCAGATCAGATATTCATAACCCTTCTACCAGTATATTAAAGTAATGTTTCCCTCAATAAACAATATAACAGAGGTATTCTATAATACCTGATATTTTAGACAGGACATGTAAATGTGTTCCTAAAATTGATTATATATATATTAAGCCTGCACTTCAAATGTTAATATATATACTAAAAATATAAAAAAGAACAACTTGAATTGCTGTTGATGCAAGATGTTGAAAATATATATTTTTTTATATGCTTAAAATGTGTAATTTTAAAGTTATTCAGTAAGTAAAAGACTGCATTTCTGAATCTTAGTATTTCTTCATATCAGACTTCATAGGATTGACAGTGTCTATGTTGTAGCATATAAAGAAAATAATGTATTAAGACTCCTAACACTATACACACATAGAAACAAATAATACTAACAATGACAGCCTGTAATTTTCCAAAATTTCCTAACTTTGTAAGATGTGATAGAGTAGTATGTGATGTTGTGTAGATTTTAGTGTCTTTTAGTGTTAGTGTCTTTCAAAAAAATTCTTTTATCTTTCTATCCTACTAATAATTTCCTTTCTGTAGGAGGAGGATTCAACACCTGTTCAGGTTAGAATTGTAATATTTTATTTTTCTAACTATAATCACACATGTCAAAATTATTTTTATATTAACTTGTAAAGGCTAATAATGATCTCATTGTTGGCTCTCATAATGTTAAAGCAACTTATTTCGAATTAAATATTCAGGAAAATTGAACTGTCTTTGAGGAAAGATACTGTATGATAGTGATGATGAAACAGATCATATTGTATTATCTCCTAACATAACTAATTAATATTTTTGAGGTATTAAACCTTTATACATTTATATTATAAAAGGGTTACTATGCACTTGTGTCAAAATAGAAGAATTCCTACAGCCAGAAAGAATTGTAAAAGTGTCAGAAATACAGACAACAGAGATAAAGGTTCACCCATTCTGATATGGCATCACAGATTTATTAACAAATTTCAAATGTTGTAGCTTATAAGTTCTAAGTGTGTAAATCTATATATATACGTATTAGTTTTGTGTGCTATCTACTAATGTTTGTTTCAGAATTAAGCTGAAAACAGATGATCAGTTGAACATATACTATGGGTATATCCCAGCCATATGGTGTCAATTTTGTGAATCTTGGCAATATGATTCAACTAAAGGAATTAAGATAAAATGCCTATATGTATGTTATGTATATCATATGATATATAATATTAATTGATGTCAATAATCTGATGTTGATATAAGTTGTAAACCAATATAAAATTATTGTATGTTAAAAAAATGTGTGTATATAAAATAACATGACTGCTAATTTTATTCATTTTTGGCTGTATTTATAACTTAATTCCTCTTAAATATTATCATGTATACAAGTCATAGTTTGTTTATTTTGATCACTGAAATTCTTTAAAAAAATGTTTTATATAATATATATATACCTATATCTAAATTATACAAAATTATCTAAACTAAACCTTGTACTAAATACCACAAAGAATTAAAACAATTATCAAATAATTCTACTACACTTTACATTAGAATAATTACAAAAATTAAATGTTTTCTAGCTACTGTTTTTCTTCTGCTGTAAAGTTATGCAAAATAAAAAAAATTTAGATTTTTCTGGGAAGAGAAGTTGGTTCAAAAAAATTTAAGAAGAATTTGCTCATTAAAATTTTTAAAAAAGTGTGTGTGAAATAAAATTTCTCTTCTTTTAGTAATGCTGTAAACAGGATTGATAATAGTATTCTTCACACCTTAATAATCTAGTTGTAGAAAATTCTTGTTCTAGCTCTTTCTCTGATTTACAATAAGTTTCTAATGGACTTGAGGAACGTTCTGTTACATGTACTTTATGTTCAGGTATTAATAACTCTGCATTATTCTTTGTTGTTAAAAAAAATGTTAGTTAATTTATAGTTTTGATATCTTTGAATTTAGCTATGTTTTGAAAACTATCATTATATAAAATATATATATGTGTATGTATGTATAGATCCATCTGTATGATTTTCCTGTAGAAATATACTACACTTTTTTGTAAATGTTTATGTTCAAGTACTCTACATATTAAAAGATTATGTTCAAGCTCTATTTAGAAATAGTTCATTATATTAGTGAAAACCAAAAAAAGTATTCATTCTTTTACAAAATGTGTTAGTTCGATTTTTTGCTTCAAATCCAAGTGCATGGGTACACATTTACACTGGTGAATATAAAATTTTCTATTAGACCATTA